TTTTTAAGTTGATATGTATTGGGTGGCAGGGAGACAGGAGAACAAACATTCCAGCATATTCATTTTTTACTGCTGTAATCACTCTGTATTTCAGCAGTTGATTATTATTTTCAGTTTCTATGTGTTTCATATTTGAACTAGGTGAGAAGTAATAAGCATGTAGAATTTGCTTTAAATACTTGTTATTTTTGGTTTTCTTTAAACTGTTTAAAACATTTATGCTGACATAAGCTCTTTGTGTGTTTATATTTTGCAAATTTATATGCAATAGAAACCTTTGAGTTATTTTTTGGAAGTGAAGAAAAACAATATAAAGCCTGTTTACTTTTATTTCAGCTGTTTCTGAAAGGATTTGTAAATATTTTATCTTGAATTGCATAGAGATAATAATTAAAATTGTGACTTCATTCCAAAGCATCTTGGTTAGGTTATCTTTTGCTCCATAAGATACCACTACACACAACTCAGTAGCTTAAAACTTTAATTTATTATGTCACTTGTGATTCTGGACTTACTTGTGTTCTTTTCATATGGGGTCTCTCCTGTGGTTGTAGTCAGGTGTCAGCTGGGACGGCAGTCATCTGAAGGCATGACTGGGCTAGATGTCCAGGGGGGCTCACTATATGTCTTACAGTTGAAGCTTTTAGCTCAGCACTTAGCTGGGGCTGGCAGTTGGACTACCTACAACACAAATTCTTCATCTAACCTATTCCTCACAGCATCTCGGGTAGTCTCAGATTGGTGGCACATCTTCCATGGCACATGACTTTCTAGAAATTTTACCTCACTCTGTCACCTTGTCCACCAGATATTATTATATGTGATTCTGTCATCAAATGCATCTGCTGACCCTCCCAGCTGTCAGTGTCCTTATTAAAGGATTTGTTATATTTTGAAAAAGATCAGACAGATATTCAAAAACCTCTCTCCACATTTACGTTGTCTGTCCAGTAACCATGTCAGAAAGAGAAAAGTAGGTTATTTTAGACTGACTCATTCTGATTTCATAGGAGAAAACCTAGGTTGTAAACTGATGCCAACAGGAGAGTTGACTAGGCCAAGTGTAGTCGATATGGTATAGTGGGATTGTGGGTAAACTACTAGAATACATATGTAATATTGTCCAAGGACATTAACATCCAAAAATTTTAAAATACCATGGACCCCATGTCATATTTATAGACTGTATTCAGCCCAGAGTCTGGCAGTTTGATGGCTTTGGAGAGATAAAGGAGTTTCTTTGGCTTGTCTATACTAATTCAAACTGTTTGAATAATTTTTCTTTCAAAGAATTTTATACTATACATTTTTTTCCAGGAATCCTCCATTCATAGTTATGAAATTTGTCATTCTGTATTCACAATCTAGAATACCATGCTTAATTGGTATAGAGTAAGAGTAAACATTTTAAAGATCATCAACCACAGTGACATTTAAGATAACTGGTAACAGTTAATATTTCTTGATTACCTGTTCAGTATAAGGCTATATGTTAGTTAAGCCTATGATTTCCAGTGAAGCAGGCAAAATACACAGATAATAATAGTAAGAATTCTAGTTTGTATATTTTAGGGCAACAATTATTAGTCCTAGTAGCACATTAAGATTACCTTGGAAGCTTTAAAAAAAATACCAGTGTTGTGGCCCTACTCCAGACCAATGAATCAGAATTTTTGGAATAGGGCAGGGATGTGTAAGTTAAATTACAGAGCTGGAAATCAGATATTTTTAAAATGTAAATTTTATAAATTATATTTTTCTCATATATTCCATACTTCATTTTCCAGTTTTTATTTGAGAGACTTTCCAAGCATTATATTTAGCATATAATTTTCACTTTACACAATCTAAATATTTTAGATTTCTTTATTTAGTTATAAAATATTAGATTATAAACCATATATCTATTTTGTTATATAATCAGCAAATCTGTTTTAATTTATTTTTTGCCACCTATAAATAAACAAAATAAATTTATCTCTTTTATCCTTTAACAAATATTTCAGTGTCTCTCAGCAAAGAAAAAAGTTTTGGTTTTTGTTTTTTTGTTGTTTTGTTGTTTGTTTTTTTTTTTTCAGAAAATTCATTATATCATCTCTATAGCAAGTACATTTAAACAGTTCATAGCTAAACATTTTAGCTGTTCACTAGCATGCTCATATAACTTGTAAAGGTTGTAAATATTTAAATCGCTTCTAAATTATATTCTGCAATGGAAACAACAACAGACCGTATTTGGAAGTTGACCGTGGAGGTGTTAACATCCAGGCATCTCTAGTCCCCTCAGATAACAGCTTTGAAGATTCTGTTCAAAAATCATGCAAACAGTAGTGATACAGTTAACAAGAAAAAGCTTATTCAGTGATGATAGAAATAGTGATGTGGCACAATTGTCTGTGAAACTGAAAAAAGTATTTTTAATATTCAGGTTGTACTATATTTTTTTACCACAAGAGGTCCCTAAATCCTTTTTGGTGTATTCAGGCCATTTAATATGCATTTCAGACAGTTGCAGCACTTTGCTATTATTTCTATGACTCTATATTAACCAATTTTTTAACATTAGGAGAACTAAACTTTTATTCTTTTGAATCAGATTTTTAAAAGAATTTCCTTTAAATTTCATCTGCACCTCGAAAATACCAGCATCAAAGGATATAAGAGTAGTGGAAAAACCAGGAAAATAAGTTACATAAAGTGGCAGTGAAATAGAATTCCTTTAGAGGTTAAGTGAAAACACAGACTTCTTTGTGAGTTATGAACAAACAATACCATTCCTTTCCATCTTAAGTCTAAATTCCATTTTGTTCAATCGGTGTTAATTAGTATTATAATTAAACATGACTTTTTTCATAGACTGCCTTAATCGTACATGAATAATACCATTTTTGTCACTCCAGTTTGGCTGTATGGTACTAATCACACTCTTGCCTTAAATGTAAGGAGACATAAATGTTCCTGTGTCTGCTCCTGCACTAATTTAGGTATTATTCATTGAATACTTACTCCATGCCAAGCAGAAAGATATATTTCTTGCCTTTCAAACTTCATAGTTTCTTTGGGGATATAATTTAATAGACAATTATAATTCATTGTAGTATGTTTAACATAACTCTTCCTTTGATTTAATACCTTGACTTATTTCAATAAAAAGATGTTTCTATGTCTCCTATTCCTTTAATAATTTGCAGTTACAAGGGGTCAAAAATATTTTTTCCATGACAGCCAGTGATCTTTTGTAGTAAAAGCAACTCATAATCTACCATTGGGTATGTGTTTATATGGGGCTTGTCTTTCTTAGTTTGTTCATTTCAGTCTGGCTTATGAACAAAACAAGGACATCTCTCTTATAACTTCAGAGAATAATTTTATCTCATTAAATTGTTATATTTGCACTCTTTTGAATCAGACATTGCTAATTGGGAGATACTAATGAAATTAACCTAGGTAAGAAATGTAAAATATGGTATTTAAATGCATAGGCCTTATATTTTCTTTTCTTTGAAAATGTTAACAGTAGCTTTTTAATAGTAATTTATATTTTAATCACTAGATGGCACTAAGCACATATAGCTAAGAAAAATAACTTTTTCTCAAGTTTTCTGAAAACAAGTCTGTGTTTTCAGCATTTCATACTATAAATTTTTTATGTAGTCCATGAAATTCTTCTTGCTACAAAAGCTTTGTTTTTGTAAGTGAAATAATCTCACATCTGATTCCCTTAGGTATAGTAAGTTCTGAGAGAGACATAGCCTCTGAAATTAAGTCATCCACTAATCAAACTTTTCTATTCTTGGCTGTTTAGATTTATTATTGTCATCTGTTTCTTAAACTGTACTTTTCTTACTAGTACTTTCTCTTCCCTGGAAAAGAGAGAATGTATTTTAATAATACATTTTGTTTTTATTTGTTCGTTTTGGTTTCACTTAAAGGTTTTCTTCCCGATATCCTGATGTTCTTGAAATATAACTTTCATTTCAAGTATTTCAAGTGTATCACACTGGACAGAGTCACAGATGTCTCTCCTACCTAGCTATTGCAGACTCTTATTCAGTACAAGCTGTTTAACCTACTTTTTTTTTTTTTGTCTATGCATGTGTCCTTTTCCTAACAATTAGAGAAAGTAAAAACTTCAATTCTTTTTATCAGCTTGTTGGTTCTAACATGCTCTGAGAACAGTATTTCTAAAATGTTATGAATCTAGTAGCATTTCAACTAAATCTGCAATTGCCTGCTAAGTACCCACGACTTTAAAGGCCCTGGGTCAAGCACTATGTATAAGTCAGGCCAGGACATCTGGAGATACTGCCACCATCTGCCTTGGAGCTCAGCCGGACACCTTGGACACTCTAATGGGGCAAAGCTAGCAGTCCAACTTCAGTGATGCGAGTCATTCAGTGTGTCCTGTCAACTACAGTGCCTTTTAGCCTGTTCTGGCCTATTTTGCACCGATGTTTTCATTTCATATCTTAGGACTTCTCAGAGGCTTTAGGATGCCTCCTCTATTATAGGTTGCATCTGAAATAACAAACTGTGACTCTGAGGAACTCATCTCCCTTCTTGGCTATTTATGCCAAAGACGTATTCCTGGTGCATTATCTGAATATTTATTTGTTTCTTATCTGTATTCAGCAAGTATTTGCTGAATAATTGAAAGAATATTAATAGTCAATTGATATTTCAAATGCAAGGTTTTATCTTACAACATTTGAGAATGCTGATCATGTTGTGTTTCTTCTGTTACCTGTTTTAACATTTTAACAGTTCCTGTCAAATAGCCAGCAAATATTATCAACTAACACTTTCTAACAGTATTATGTTTTCAAGTAAAGAACTATTCTTAAAAATCAAGTAGTATTGGCATCATTGTTAGGTTGGTCAAACCTTGTTCTTATCCTTTTAGTTTTACCTATCGATTTGAAAGAGATTAACTTGTTGAGAATACACTGAGTCAAAAAATGTTTAAAAAGGGAAACCTTATTGATATTTTTGTTTTTCAGAAAACTGCGGAATATACTTCCCAGAAATAAAAAGAGATCCAGGCAGGTACTTACACAGTTGTCCTGAATCTGTGAAAAAATGGCTTCGACAGCTGAAGAATGCTGGGAAAATTCTTCTGTTAATTACCAGTTCTCACAGTGATTACTGTAGACTTCTCTGCGAATATATCCTTGGGTAAGTGATGAGTCAGTCGGTTTTCACTGTCTTATGAATACAGACAGCAGATTAGACCAGGGCTTTTTTTAAGAGTGTCAATCATGACCATATCATTATTTTAAATAACGCTGAGTGACAAGTTGATTTTTTTTTTCCTCATATCCTCAATATCTGCTGACAGCAGCCCACCCAAGTACCTTTTAGCAAAGCAATGTCACTGAGGACCAGTATGCTCATAGCTCACTGAATGTCCAGGTTTTAGGTTTTCTGGAAGGTGATAAACCGTATATCTTTCAGTTTTCCATGAATTTGGGTTCTCATCTTTGGATGATGATTTATTATAGATTATACTCTGAGTTATAGATTATACTTCTCCACAGATACTAGAGTACAGCCACTATTTAGTCATTTCAGTGCAGAGCCATGTACTTTACTGTTTAACACAGGCAGGATGGGATTGAATTCATGAAAATGAATGCAGTATAATTGCTTAGACTTTAAAATGAGACAGACTTGAGTTCAAGCCCTGCTCTGCAGTTTACTGTATTACCTGGGGCAGGTTTTATAACCTCTTTAAGGCTCAATTTTGTCATCGTAAAAATGGTACAGTAATGCCTCATAGGTATGAGGCGATATTTAAATAGCGTAATGCAGATAGAGAATTAGACAGGAGTAGTTGATAGACTTCAGTGTTTTTTTTTCCTGGCAATACCAGGAAATGTCTATAGTCAAAGTAAGATTCTGCAATGAGCTAGTAGGTCTCCCCTAATGTTTCCTCAAATTCCAACAATTACTGAATTACCATGAGTATGTAAGAAGTTTAAGCCTTAAAACCCTCCTTCTCCAACTTTTTCAGCATCATGATTTCCATGTTTCTTAGCATATATGGCTTTAGTTTGTTCTGTGATATACTTACAATCTGTGAGTAGAACTGCTACTTTCTGAATAATATATAGGCTGATACATAATAGTGCATCCTTTGGGTAAATTAAGGCTAAAGTCCTAGATGTTTTCGAAGGTGCCTCTCATAGAGACATTTGCTATCCTAGTAGTAGGCCCATGCTTTAGAATAAATACTCAGGATTTTAATTCCTTTTTCTTTAGCATAGATAACCAAAGTCTTTCTTCATCTTAATTTCTATTTATTGCTCTTTTGATTTGTAAAAGTATTCTGGAATGTTGGGTAAATATTGTTTCCCCCATTGTAACAGTGAGTTCTTCAGGAGAAAGGCTACCTTTTTTTGCCATCAAAAATAATCCTTTATATAATATTAAGTACAGATTTCAAATCATTAATTATTGTCTTATAAAAATTACCACATTATAAGACTATACTGATTGCCAAATAAAGTATCTTCTTCACATTTGAAATACACTCTGAAAGATAACCATGACTTGCCATAATGCTGCTTTCTGTGGGACCCATATAACACAAAAAATTGTTAACTCTTCAAGCTAACAAATCTAGCCAATTTCAGTCCCCCAAATTTGAAGGTAGATCCTCCAAATATTTTCAGCTGTTAGAAACTATCAAGTTCACTACCAAAACCATCTTGGTACCTAGAGTCAGTGTGCTTCTTTCTTTTTTTTTTTTTCCTGATTCTGTTTATACTTCAAAGAGTTGTCAGGAAGACTAGTACTCAACCACCTTCTATTTCCAGTGGAATGTTCACCTTAAAATGTATAAGAAAAATATAAAGTATGTAAACGTTAATCAAAAGAAAGATAAAATAGGTAAGCAAAGATCAAGTTGTGTTTTATATGGACCTTTTCTAATTCTTAAAATAAATTTTTGTGGCCTTTAGGAATGATTTTGCAGACCTTTTTGACATTGTGATTACAAATGCATTGAAGCCTGGTTTCTTCTCCCACTTACCAAATCAGAGACCTTTCCGGATACTCGGTAAGTTACATTTGGTTTCTTTCTTCCCCGTATACTGCTGGCTAACAACCTTGTGCAGAATACTGTGTTACATGCAATGCCATGTCTTCCTTCCTCCCATGGGGAAGAAAGAAGATAATAAACCTATGTTTGTATCAGATTTTATGTTACCACTTTATATCACAATTATTTCTTTGCATGTCAGTCTCTCCCTGACTTTAAAAATGAAGAGCATGAACTTTACCTTAGTTTTTAGGGCCTAAATAAATGCCTTGATAATTACTTGAAAGATGGATTAATTGTGATAAATCAGTTGAGTTATTTTCTAGAACAAAAGCACCTGCAGAACACATGAAGATCAAAACATATGAAACATTCCACTCTCTGGAGAACAGGCAAAGCCTCCCTGAAAGAGTATTTAGAATTCTCATTCATATAGAATTCTCCCTCTCACTGACAGGGAGAGAGGTGGAATGAAAAGGGATTTGCAGATGAAAAAGAATGATAATAAAGTGAGGTCCTCATAGTAGGTGCTCTTGAAAGCTTCTTGAATAAATACATGAATGAATAAAAAGCAGAGCCTGATCAGTAATAGAGAAGTTATAGGTTTCACGGAAAGATAGTGAGCTTAGTTTTGATATCTGCTTTGCCTTTTATTTTATTCAAGTAGTTTCAAATAAGCTCAATGATATATTAACATGTGAGAACCATTCAGAAGTTCTCTTAGAAGATGGACATCTAAAATAAATCCAGGATGGTTGAAAATTGAAATATAGTTGATGGTTGTAAATGCACATAAATGTATATAAGATTATTAACAAATAAAATGTATAGATCTACAGAGACATAGCTGTATTTTAAAGAGAATGATAAAATTAACATGCATGCATATTATATGCATAATTATATACCCAAACCCTGTTATATATGATTTATAGTTTGTTTTAGTTTTCATTCATATGCTTGGCATTATATAAACAACCTAGGCCAGATTGGACTTATATTTAATATACATTTCTCTTTACTTTCCTATGGCCACATACTACCCTGCTTTGAAATAAAATTTAAAATTTCTCAAAAAATATTCAGGTGAATCACATTTAATAAATTTATTTAATATGGTAATACAGTACTATTTACTTTGAACTTCTATTTCTTTTTGCTATTCAAAAGCCTGATTCAGTCCTAGGCATTTGATAGTAGCTCAGTACTCTGATGGATTTATGAACAGTGAAATCTAAGTGAAGTTCATTGTAGCAAGTGTCAAGCACCAAGGCATTTTCTGTACACTAGACAGATGTGTAAATATGTAAGCACATCAGAAAGTGCAAGGGATGCTTATGGATTTTAGTACGTGTCATGAAGGTAAGAACCACCTTATAAGGTACAGTATACGGAGCAGGCCCCCTTAGAGTAGCTGGCCAGGGAAGCTCTGTCCAAAAAGGCCACTTGCAAAGCAAGCCCTGAGGGACAAGTGATGAGAAGAGTGGAGGAAGAGTGTTTCTGGCAGTGGATCAAATGAATGCCAAGGCCCAGTAGGAGAGTAGTTTTCTCACATTTCAGTGACAGAGAAGAGGCCTGCCATTCTGGCACATGGTCATGAGGTGGGAAAGGGTGAAGTCAGGGAAGCAGGCACCCTTGTAAGCAGTGGAAAGGGGTTTGAATTTTATTCCATAACTAACCTGAAGCCATTCCGTTATTTGAGGCAAAAGAGTGATATAAGAGACCCCTTTAGCTCCTGGGGAGGGAATGGTTTGGGTGTGGGGAAGGATGGGACGAGGAAGACCTGGCAACTGCAGTGTCCCGGGTAAGAGATTGTGGTGGTTTGGTCTGGAGTGACAGTACTGGAGACAGAGAGAGGTAGATACATTTTAGATACATTATGGAGTTGGAAAATACAGGGTTCAGTGATACTTAGGGAAATCGCAGATGAAAAGAAAGGAGTAATAAAAAATGACTTCAAGGTGGTTGATTTTTCTTTTTCCTGAAATGAGCAGGTGAGTAGATGGTGGTACCATTTACAGACTTGGGGAAAAATACAGAGGATAAAGTTGTGTGGAGTAGGGGTTACATCTATTAAGAACTCATTTTTCAACATGTTAATTTTGAGATGCCTATGAGTTATGTAACCGTCACTATCAATTAGGAAATTGCATAAATGTGCCTGATTCAAGGGAACAAGTCTAGGCTCGAGGTATAGATTGGGAGTAATCAGTTCATAGGTAGGTATTTGAAGTCAGGGGCTTATATGAAACCAAATATAGAGAGAATATAAATAGTCAAAAGGCCTAGACCAAGCTCTGACATTCTTTAATATTAAGGCTAGAGAAGAAAGAATGCAGTGTGGCAGCAGAGAGATTATAGTAGGGAAAACAGTAGAATACAGTGTTCAGAAGTCAAAGGAGAGAGGAAAGGGTAGCCAGCTAATTCAAATGCTACAGAAAAAGTCCACTGAAATGAGGAAAGGGAAGTCTTCACTGGAGTGGTCAAGATGGAGATCTCTAGTGCCTCAATGAACAGTTGCCATCAATTGGTGGTATAGAAACTAAATTGCAGTATCATAAGTATTTCATTGGAGGGATAGAACCAGGGTATATATGTACAGCTCTTTCTAGAATTTTAGCTGTGAAGGCAGTCAGGTAATTGAGGTTTTAGCTAGAAGACAATATAGGATTAAGGGCATATTTAATTTTTTAAAGATTGAAGATACTGGAATATGCATATGTGTTCATGAGAATGATCTAGTGCAATGGTTTTCAATGGTGGACTTTTGCCCTTGGTGCAAATTTGGCAATGTCTGGAGACATTTTTGGTTGTCACAGCTTGGGAAGGGGGTACTCTTGGCATCTGGTAGGTAGAGGCTAGGTATGCTGCTAAGCACCCTACAACACATGGGACAGCACCCCTCAACAACAAAGAATTATCTAGTCTCAAATCTCAGTAGTGCCAAGGCTAAGAAACCCTAGTCTAGGAGAAAGAAAGAGAAAGAAGTTGATGTTGTTTTTATATATTGGTTTAAAGTCTTCTATAATAAAATCCTTGATGTTAAGAAATAATCTCTTATCAAGGATTCTAATAATATTCTTGTAATTAAACCAGAAAAAATTAAAATGTTTTTCCCACTTCATAAATTTACATTTAAATATATAAGTAAGTACCCAATAAATATTTGTCTTCAATTTTATTTTTGTGGGGTTTCATATTTTGTTCTAAGAAAAATCTATACCCCTTATATACCCGTAGTAGTATTTATGCCATTCCATATGATTTTTGTTAAAATTTTACACAAAGACACAGATAATGGAAAACTGCACATTAAAAATATACCAAGTTTGTTTAACATGTTGGAAATTATAAATGCATTAACTATGCTGACAGATTACAGCATTTTATTAGCTTTTTTTCTGTTTAGAGTATCCTGAGACAAAAGGGTGGACTGTTTAAAAAAAGATTACAATTACCTATCTTAAGATTTCTCAGCAGTATTTTCTCTTAGTTGTACAGTATAACTGGATTTGAGGGCTGACATAATAATGATGTTTATCCAGACTATATTTTTAAATGTTATACTCATCAAAAAACTTAGTCTTTTTGACTGAATTTATAGTATGGAAATAATAGGAATCTAAAATTTAAAAATAGCATATACTGATAATAAATATAGCAATTTAAAAAATTGTTTTACATTTTGGGTTGTATAAAAACTTAGTTTTTTTAATTTCTACTTTCCCTAATTTGTATTTCACTTATTTTTTAATTGACTAGTAAAAATCATATGTATTTATGGTGTACAACATGGTTTTTTGATATATGTATACATTGTAGAATGGCTAAATAATGCTAAATAGTCATTAGCTCACATCATTTATCATTTTTTTTGTGTGTGGTAAGAACACTTAAAATCTATTCTTAGTAATTTTCAAATATACAATATATTATTTTTAACTCTATGTTATATACAATATCTTTCTTGGATTTATGGATTTATTCCTCCTAACTGAAACTTTGTGTCCTTTGACCAACATCTCCCAATGCCACTACCCCTAGCCTCAGATAACCACCATTTTACTTTCTGATTCTGTGAGTTTAGCTTTTTTACATTCTAAATGTAAATAAGATCATATGGTATTTGTCTTTCTGTGCCTGGCTTATTTCACTTAACATTATATCATCCAGGTTCATCCATGTTGTCACAAATGACAGGATTTGTTTCTTTTTAAGGTTGAATAGTATTCTATTATATATATATACCATATCCTATCCTTTAATCTGCTAATGGACATTTATTGATTTCATATCTTGGCTATTGTGAATAATGCTGTAATGAACATGGGAGTATAGATAGCTCAACATACCAATTTCATATCTTTTGCATACATACTCACTATTGGGGTTGCTGGATCATATCATAGTTATATTTTTAATTATTTTAAGGAACCTCCACACTTTTTTCTATAATGGCTAAACTAATTTACAATCCACCAAGAATGTACAAGGATTTCCTTTTCTCCACATACTCTTTAACACTTATTTTTGTCCTATGATAGTCATTCTAATAGTTCTGAGGTGATACCTCATTGTGGTTTTAATTTGTATTTCCCTGATGATTAATGATGCTAAGCATTTTTTATGTAGATGTTAGACATTTGTATACCTTTTTGAGAAGTCTTTATTCAGGTCCTTTGCTCATTTTTCTTGGATTATTTTTTTCCTTACTATTGAGTTTCTTTTATATTTTGGATATTAACCCCTTAGCAGATGTATGGTTTGCAAATATTTTCTACCATTCTACTGGTTGTTTTCCCTTTGTTGACTGTTTTCTTTGTGGTTGCATAGCTTTTTAGTATGATATAATCTTGTTTGTCTATTTTTGTTTTTGTTGTCTCTGCATTTGGGGAAGTATCCAGAAAACCTTATAAAAATTTTATTTAAATAGCAGTGACTGTGTTTCATTCTCTTCTGTGGTTTTAGAGATGAAAAATCTGGATTGCTGAAACAGGACCCAAAGTCCTACTACCAGT